TGAAAATACATATGTGGCTTTCAAAATATTTCTATGCAACAACACTGTTATAGCCTATTGGCAGAAGATTTCTTCCTATTATGTTCTTTTGCGGGGGACAGATTGAGGGTGTCTTTCAGGGAAGACAATAAAATACAAAGGCAGAAGGGATGATCCATGGTGGTTAGACAATATTTCTAGGTTTGGGGATCATTACATTTTTGTTCTGAAAACTTTACTTTGGATGCTAAATATCCAGGTCCAGTGTTCTGGAATTGAGAAAGTGTAGAAAATTTGGGATCCTGCAATGTTTGCCACTCTCTGGTATTTCCTGAGCTGTCATCGGATGTCCTAGATTCCTGAATATCTGTAGATTCCTGCTGGCATATGTGGACAGTAAAAAGATGGCTTAGAAAGAAGGAAATTCTTTTGGAATAGGTTGTTTGACATGATGATGTTATGGGAATTAAGTGAAGCTAACTTTGATCTTGTCTCTCTTATTTGAAATAAGACATCTGGGTTGTTTTATGTCTGCATTGACCTAGTAGCAGGAAAAAAATAAATAATTTGAACAGTAATTAGATTGAGAATAACATCTAATGACTCTGGGAGTTTGCGAGATTAACTAGTTTTGGCAAAAAATTCTAAATAAATAAAAGAGGACTCAATTCCAACTTTTTTTAAATTAAAACTTAATTAAAATGTAATTTAATTTTAAAATCATCATATTCTCAGATCAATGAATTTAGTGGCCTTTCTTCTTTCCTTTTTTAAAAAGCTACATAAACTAAAATGGGTCCCCTCTTTTTTCTACTATTCACAAGTGGTACATGGTTTATAGCCTCCTTTCATGCCCATAATCATGCTCAGTTATTTCCTCTCTGGATCAATGAGAAGAGTATGGATGGAGAAGTTAGCCCAGCACTTGTGAATGACAGAAAACCACACCAAAAACTCCTAGTGCAGGTCCTCAGACACACAAATGCTCTGTGTCTATCCATGTCCAACATGATTCATGTTGGAATGAACTTTCTTTTGACTAATGAGCTTAAGAGAAGATTTTGAAATATACTTTGGGGATTTATGGAAGTGAGAGACTTAAGAATGTGAGTATCATGGAGCTCAAGGAACTGTCAGTGACTCTACTGGGAAGAACACAGAAGTATAAGAAAGAAGAAATGGGACATGGGACTGATTTTTTCTGGAATTGGAAAACATGCCATCAACGCCAGATATTATAGCAGAGACAGATGGCATGGCAGGTGCTGTGAAAGAAAAATGAATTACTACTAGGTGAGCCAGAAAAAATAAACAAGAAGGACAGAGGAAAAAGTATACAAGTTCCCCTCTGTTGTCAGGAACATCTTCCCATAGCTGTAAAATGTCTAATTGCATTCCACAGGGTTGTAGATTACAAAGGCAGTCTCACCTCCTTCTCCATTGGTTGCACTTTGGGAATTTATGGCCATTCTTTTGAAAGGACTCACTTTTTGTCTAGTGGCTTTCTAAGGAAGGAGGGAAGGCAACAACTAATTTGATACATGATGCCAATATTATGAAGATGCTACTGCTAATCTTTTTCTGGCTCAATTTGTTGTCATCTGATATGTAGAAACTGGATGAAACTCACGTTGGTTTATTCCCAATTAACATCCTTTCATGGTGCGAATCAAGAGGATGGGGTTGGCATTTTAATAAATTTAAATCGAAGTTGTTTAAAATGAGTCTTAGAAAGCTGGGCTAAGTTCTCTCATTAGCTCCCCAGGGTTTAATATAGGTGCCTTGGCAAAATCATAAGTTAGGGTGTGTTGTGGGTCCATGGAATTGACGGGAATGGTTGAAACCAATAAAGGTGATCTACAAATGTTAAGGGTTTACTGTGAGGCACACATACAAAGAACAGTGCCAACATATGTAGATTTAATATAGGAAAATTCAGCAATATGCACTTGGCAACCACTGTTCCATCTCTTATATTAGACAGAAATGGATGCAGTTGAGCCTAAAATTGCCAATGTGAGTTGCTAAAGTAAGAAAAGTATGTGAATGATATTAAGGCCGTTACCAAAAAAAAAAAAAAAGGTGTCTGGGAAAGTATCTAGTGATGGTTTTGTCACTATATTTGGAGAAGAAATTGAGTAATTAAAGGCTATAGAGTAACACTGACAACAAGTCATTACTATAGGGTTTTCAAGGGTAATTTTGACTATACGTAACATTTAGTTCTCTATTGTTTTTAGAAACCCTAATAGCCTTCCTAAGGTAGAACTTTCACTCACATACACACATATATGATTCACAAAATCATTGCAAAAATGAAACTTAATAACAACATGGAATCCAGACATAGCTTACACACCTTTTTTTTTTTTTTTTCATTTTTAGAAGAGAAAATGAACCCAAGGCTACCTGGAAATCCCTGTCTATTTCTTATTTTTTTCTTATTTCCTATTTCTTCTTCTCTCTGTTGCCCAGATCAGTCCTTTCCTCTGTTACAGTAAAGAAGGAAAGACTAAATATAGAGAATGAGTTTCTAGAGACTAATACCAAACTGGCCCTTCCATCTGGCTCACCTTGGAACAAATGAGTATATTGTTTGAGGATACACATTTTCTGCAAAGCTAGGGAGACATCACAGGGAAGCTATTTCAATCTGGAATAAGTCCTAAATGGGGACTTGCCTGTAGTGTGAACCTGCTAAGTCATCCCAGAGGAATAAGCCTCGGAGTCTTATGTGCCAGCCAGGAGTGGATCTCCCTTTGCTGGGGGTGGGAGAGAGAAGGCTACATTCCAGCATAAGGAGGTTGGTTGCCGCAGAGCTTTGAAATGCCATGTTTCTTGACCTTATCAACAAGTACAAATCTCTACTTGACACCCTTCATTAGACTTCTGAACTTGGACAATGACTCATGATAAAACAGCTTCCAGGGCTTCCCTGGTGGCGCAGTGGTTGAGAGTCCGCCTGCCGATGCAGGAGACATGGGTTCATGCCCCGAACCCCGGTCTGGGAAGATCCCACATGCCACAGAGCAGCTAGGCCCGTGAGCCATGGCCGCTGGACCTGCACGTCTGGAGCCTGTGCTCCACAGCGGGAGAGGCCACAACAGTGAGAGGCCCGCGTACTACAAAAAAAAAAACCCAAAAAACAGCTTCTTATTCTGCTTTGTGGTATTTTTTGTAAGAAACTCAGAGAAAATGTAAAAATTCTCTGATTCCAGCGGAGGCTGGTTAATGCTGCAGTTATACATTCTACCAGGTAGCAATCTGGTTTGTTTTCGTTTTCTATGTTTTGAAGCTCCCTTCTGATAAATGTCAACACATAATTAGTCTTTATATAAGAGGTACCATTATCTTATCAGTATCACATAGTTTGGCTCCTAATTGAGAATTTTCTCCTTCTGTAGGTATATAATGCAAATTATAATGTTTTCTGTTTCAGAGACTTCTATATTATATCCCTCAGATTAAAGATAGTGGTAGAATGGGGAAAATGAGCCAAAAAAAAAAAAAAAAAGATGCTGAAAAATCCCAGATGTTCTTCTTTCCTGTACATAGCATAATTGCAAAGGACATTTTTCCAAAGAGGAAAATAGTCACTAGGCACTTAAAATGGGAAGCAATTTCAGTCTTTCACAGCCGCCACTGAATGGCATTTTACTTGACGATTGTGCTCACGCGATAGCTTCAGTGCTCTGTTTTAATGTGGCATTGAGAATAGTGTGACATCATATTATCCTTGCAATAAGCACTTCTTACACTAATAAAATGTTTATGATTTGCTTTATCAAACACCTATTCTTTGCTTTGATAAAAATATGCATTTTATGTCATTTCCATGGATAATTTCTTATTATGAATTTCCAACACTGATATTGCTTTATAATAAACTCCTAATTTACTCAAATCAAAAAAGCAGAAAACTCTAAGAGAAAATTAGATATATAAATATATATTTTAACCATTTCTCTGTGGTTGAAAAAGACATAAATAGCAAGGAAAATAGTTTCCACAACTTTTATTTTCAGAAATGCAGCCTACAGAAATATTTATATACACTGCAATCATTTATAACTTCTATAACCCTCTAGCAAGAACAAACCTTTACAGAACCTGATTTATTACAGGATCCTGAACTACCTTTTGAATCATCAAAACTAAATTTACCTTAGTGTAATTTTATGTCAAGTATTCTAATTCTTTAAAAATTTGTAAAATCCATGTCATATAGTAAATCTCAAATAACCAAAACATTATTTTTTTCATTCTTTTTCCCAAATATCTTCATTCTCATTCACCTCAGGTATATGATAATCCATATGATTATAAATCTCAATTAACTAGAACCTTCTTTTAAATTTTTCCTCCCAAACTATCTTCAATCATCCTAGGTAGTTTCCATAAATAAATGCAGATTGAAGAAAATCTGGTTTTAGGAACATTCTGAAAGCTTCCACAGGGAGATACTTAAATTGTCTTTAAACAGTTGTTAACACAATGGAGATAAAATATTGCAGCTCCTTGAGAATCAAAAACCAGATTGCAACGAAGAGTCACATTTTCAAGTAGTCGTTCCTGTAAAGCCTCTGCTCATGGTAGCACTTAGCACTTATCACCACAGATTGGAGACTAATCTGACCTAGAGTCATTATAAAGTAAGAATACCCTCAGAGAACTCACTCCAAAATAATGATGGCTGGGTTATAAATTCCCCTTCCAATTACGTTTATTGTTTTAGTTGACAAAATCACAGAAGTGAAAGGAACCTGGAGAAAGTGAGCACTGTAATGGTAGGAGCCACACTCCCGGCGCCTGCAACTGCTTAAAAATTAATGAAGATGCAGGATGTGGAGCACTGACTTTGTGGGTAAATATTGAGGCTGAAAGACATCGACTGGAAAGGTTTTTATTTTTCACGTTCAGTCAAATCAGTCTGAATATATTTCATTTCCTACTGTGAGTGGAATAAGTCGTCAAGCTAGAATCAATAACTCTAGAGTCTTTTATTACATTTCTTCACTCACCTTCCATGGGGGTGTTACTGTCTGGTCGATTTGCGAAGACTACATCCACATACTCGAGCTGCAGCCTCTGGAGGGAGCCCTTCAGTCCTGGGAACAGAAGCAGGAAAACCTCAAAAAATCTAAATATGAGCACTATTAGAAATAGTTGAAGCTTGGTTTCCTTCAAGAATTTACTTTAAAAAAGAAAAAGCATTGGATTAGTTTCAAAAAAGATATTGAATACTGTGATGTGTTTATTGGCCCCTAGAACCTTTTAAAAATATATCAAGGGCTGATGTTGTCCCCAACAAAGAAAAGCCTTAGAACTTTCTCAATGGTATTAGTGCTCCACTGGAAATCCACACTTGGTAATGACTTTTCACAGTGGCTCCTGTGTGGCTGTGTCTAGAAGCAAAGTAATAAAAAGCAGCCTGAGTTTAACTTCTTTCTTCTTGAAAAATGCAAATTAATGTCATGTTTTGAATTACTTAATGGGCTTACAATGGGATGGAGATATATTTATTGCATATCAAAAACAATAAAATGGTGTAAGTCATAAATAAGTGGCTGATAACCCCATCTTAATGTACACATGGGTTTTAATAGGAATAAAAGGGTTGGCAAATGAAGGCTTCGCTCAACATTTTACTAATTAAAACAAAAGTTCGAAGAACCTTAAATATAGCTGAGCCCTACCGTTTCTATTATTCCCCATTCTTTTGAGAAGAAACAAAAACACTAGAAGCCCTAAAGATTTAAGGGGTAATATAAAGGAAAGAGTGAGAGCTTAAAAAAAAAAAATCTGGAGCCAATAATCTATGTCTCAACCCTAACCACTGAGTCACATTCCTATGATTATGCAGAAAAAAATATTTAATTTCAGTAAAATTAATACTTCCCTGAGACAGAACATATTGTATATAGTATTATGCAACCAAAAGGATGACAGTGTTCAAGAATTATTTTCTCATTTCTATGAGGCACAGCATTTCCTTATCAGCCTATTTAATTCCACAGGAAGACTGGGGGTTTTTCTCTTTTTATTATAGGCGTAAAATTAATTGCATGTTAAATGAGGCTCTTATAAATTTAAATTTGGCTCATTTAAATTTGATTTTTCAAACTGGCTTATCAGCCAGCCACAATTACTTTTCTGACAGGAAGATGGAGTGCTTGAATACAGTTCTGGAAATATTTTTTCATTAATTGAGAAAGGATTGTCTGTGATGGTAGCTTGTTAAAAGAAGCACTGATGAAGAGATTAGGGCAGACAGGTGTTGTAAAGTCTAATGCCTGTTCTTAAAAAACCACTGGCTTTCAGGCTCGGGGTATTACCAGCTATCTCAATGGGCATCTTGAAATTAAATTCAGCTTAAAAAGCACTATGATATGAGCCACCTTTGGAAGCAGCTGTGTGTATGGAGGAGGTAAGGAGAGGAAAAGATAATTAAGCAAACAATAATAGGGTATCCCAAGGTCTGAAGGGTTGGAAATCTGTACTCTAGCATGTGAACCCACTTGGGTTATTTGACCTTTTTGTGTGTGACTCAGTTCTCTAACCTGTAGTGGAGATAACAATACTTACAACCTTCAGGATCGCTGCTCCAGAGAGCAGATAAAATCAGTTGGTGAGCACTTGGTAAGTGCAACAGTCTATAGAAGTGCGGTAGTTATAACAGTGGTGCTCACATCTGGAAAGACTCAAGATGAATGGTGCCAAAGACTAGATGCCAAAGATTTTCACTGGACCTCCTGGTTTTAAAGGGAGACATTCTGGCCCATGCCTGGCACTGGAAACAAAGTGTCCTCCTTTCTGATGATGGCACTCTCCCTCTGTGCTCTTCTGAACAGCTCAGTGTGGGCTGAGAGAAACTAGAAGGAGCTATGACTAACTCTGACCTGTTGGAATGCAGTGTGATCAGTCACAACGTAAGTCCTTTCCTCTTCCATGCCATAAGCAAGTACTGAGTTCCAATTTGATCTGAAGCTGTGCTGGGCTCTGGGGGGTTAAAGATGCATGGACATGGTATTTGTATTTATCTCCAGGGACCAAACAGTACATACTGAGAGCATCTCTTGGCAAAGGTTCATAGTTCAAGGTAATAGTATGCACCCATAAATAATGACATGGACTTGATAGAATGACAGTCTCATTGTATTCAGTCATTCCTCATCTCTCAATTCTTTCTCCGGAAAGCCTTTTTTCTTGATATTTAGGCCAAGATTCAAGAGTATTCACGTGAGAATATAAGAAATGATGTGTTGTATCCTGTCAATGATCCACCAGGTCTCTACTCTGACTCTGAAGTGGAGTAAAAGGAGGTTGTGCACCTAAGAGACACTGTCTGCTCACTTTGAAAATCTCAATCACATAAAGTCTTGTAATCCATGGCACGAGTTTTGGATTTTACTCTTTGTGAGATGGAAAGACGTTGGTGAGGGGCTGGGAGGTAAAGAAATGGAGTTAAGTTGGGGAAATGATGATATCAGATTTGTGTTCTGAACTGATCTCTTGGCCTGCTGAGAGTGACCTTCAGGGGCGAGAGTGACAGCAGGGAGGGGAGACCAGTGAGGAGGTCACTGTAGTAGACAACGCTTGGACCAAGTTGATGAGAAGTGTTCAAATTCGGGACAAGTTGTATAGGTAGAAATAAGAGGACTCTTGGTGTACTGAATATAAAGTGTGGAGGTAGAGGTATCAAGGAGGACTCTTAGACGTTTGGCCTGAGAAGTTAAGTGACTGTTAGTAAATGAGAAAGTCACGGGAGAAGCAGATTGGTGGTGGTGTTGGGAGCCATGATGGGTCTGAGCAGCACATCAGTCAACCCCACGGAGCTCTTGGCTGCTGGATGGACCAGTCTGGCATTCAGAGGAGAGGTCTTCATGCAGGTGCGGCACAGGCCTTGGGATCCAGGGTACTAAATCGCGCTGGCTTCAATGACTTTGCCAGTCTCTTAGCCTCTTTGGACCTTAGTAGCCTCACCTGTCCACAGACAAAATGGAGCTAGATGGTCTTTCTGTTTTGATCTTTCATGTGACTACAAAACAAATCAGGTAGTCCTGGCTTTTTCTATTTGGATGCTTTAATCTTGTAGCAACATAAAGACATGCTAACAAGTGTCTCCTTGAGAGCCATTTAGGGTTTATCTCCAATAAACAAATAGTCATATTCTACCTCTACTTAGCAAATGTTTGTTGATCATTGGCTTGGGGCCAAGTATTGTTTTAAGTTGAAGTAGATGTGCAAAAATGCATTAACCTTGGCTCCAGAGCGGCATCCGAATGGCTAATCATGACCTAAGGAGGTAAGTGATCCCGTGCAGCGAATGCACTTGCTGAAGGCACTTTTGACATTGGCCTGTCCCTTGGTGCTAACCCAGTGTCTGTGGGAGTGAAGACAGGAGAAGCAGGAGAAACGTTCCCTGCTCTTGAGGAGATGTCTAGATGTTAACTGGCAAGTCCTCAAAAGTCCACAGGAGAATAAATTATGTAAAGAAAATAGCTTTCAAGTGACTATAGTAAAAAGAAATCTAAGTTAATCTCTCTTTTAGGTTCTGAAGTGTAACAGGAACTGTATTGTTCATAAGGTGAAAATTGATTCAATTTAAGCCTATTTCATAGGCGTCTAAAGGAATATGTTCATTCCAGATGTTAAGCAGTTTTGGCAGGGTTAGAGGTGGAACATGTGTTCATCATTGCAGATTTAACTCTGTAGAAACAAGGCCACGAGCAGTTTGGAAATTCTGCAATGTTCTCTTCAAATAGGCCGTGTCATCATCCTCTACTCCTATGGCATATTTGTTTCCCGATCAGGCTTGAAAAAAAATGTTGCCTTAAATAATGTACACTGCTTCCCAATATAATTTTCCAGCTTCTTCTCGGCAGACCTCTCAGTCATGATTTGAGACATGCTTCTTTTTATAAAGACTGCCCTGCACTAGAATAATATAACTGGCTACACCTCCCATTATGAAACATGATTGTTTTGGGTGGGTGATTTCAGTTTACCATGAACATGCTGCACTGGGAAGGAATCCTGTGGTGAATCCATTTGTTAAGAAATTTATTCTTTAATTGAAAAATCATCAATTGTCTCTTTTTTAAAAAGTTCAGATAGTAGGGTTTAATATTTGCCATTCATTAAAAAGTTTCAAGTGGAGCTTTCTCAGATTATTTTCCTCTCCTCCTCCTAAAACAAGGACAGTGGGTTTGTGTATTGAATCACATAACAAAACTGTTGTTTACCTGAAAGGCAAATACAGACTTAAACACAGCTTTTGCCTATAAAATCACAGAAACAATTTACTTATGCTTACAATTTGACTTACCAAACTATTTCCATTCTTTCATGTTAGATACTAAAGAGCTTTGATCTGCTAAATTTTAACACTGGCACAAATTTGGGTTTAATGAATGTTTGTGGAATGGCTGAATGGATAAATAGACTTTCAGAGCCTGGGAGGATCCTGTGATTCCAAATGAATATAATAAACCTATTAGTGAAATTTCTACTCCCTCCTTATTAATCTAAGGAGAATGTTGTTTCTAGCTGGATCTAAGTCAAGGACTTTGGGCTCACTGAAAAGGTCTTTCATATGACTTTTTTCAAAATTGCATTATGCCCAAATCAAGCTAATTTTACACTCTAAAAACTAACTCAGGTGGCCAAGGTCACCCAGCCCACAAGTGGCCTGAACTCTACATGAATTGGACTTCTGTCTCATTCTTTAACAGTGCTTCTCAAATTTAATGTGCCTATGAAATCCAATGTTGAATAAAGTCATCCTCATCACAGGCCAAGTACCAATGAAACCTGAGGATAATGATTTGTAAACTTTTTCAAAATTTATTCTGGGTCTAGAAATCTCACGTCCCTTCTTTTTTTCTGTAAAATTCACTCAATTCCCTAATTTCAGCCTGCCTAGAAATATCCTTTGAGCTGAATCTTGCAGTCATGAGTATTTTTGTCTTTGGCTGAAACTATAAACTGCAAAATACCACCAACAGTAACAACATAATAATTGATCCCAATTCTTCTTCAACCTCAAAAGTTTGAAATTTTGTATTAGCTTGAATCTGGGTCAATTTGAATTTCAGCTGAACTGGTTTATCCATCCTGAGAGATTAGTTCCCAAGAGGATTTCTGACTTATTTAAAAGGAGAGAGAATTTTATTTCTATTGAGTTGTATGTGGCTTGAAGAAAACTGACTTAAAAAGGAGAGTTCTGAAATTATGCATACACACTGGTAAATATTAAAGCAATAGAGATTCAGTGAAACGCACAGTAGCACAACTTCTCCATTCTTTTTCTCATCAATTTTTCTATTTCTTTGTTGATAGCTAGTGTAAATCACTTTCTGAATCTCTTTTTGACTCAATTAGATCAAAAAGAAAAGAAAAGAAAAACAAGAACTTTCTAGGCAGCACACTGCCACCATGTTTGTTCAGCTTGGTACACAAGCCAAAGACTTGGATTTTTTCTGTTTGACAAACTTTGTGGTAGATGACAAAAGTCACAGGGCAAATGCTAGAGCAGGAATGGTAACAGTTTGGGGAGGCAGGCTGGGTTTGACTGTACAATGTCAAACTGGATACTATGAACTGGGGAGGGATTTTGCTTGGGTAAGGAATTTGCAAGCTTTCTCAAGAGCTAGAATGTAGTCATTCATTGTGGCAGCCTCAGAATATTACTTACTTAGTGTCCTTATCCATAGGAAGAAGACTGGTAGTTACACTATTAAGAACGATGATGATGGTGATGATGACAAAAATAACATTTATTAAATGCTTATTATATGACAGACACTGTGCTCAATGTAAACAATCTAAGTTCAATCCCTGAACAGTAACCTTGTGAGGTAGGATATTGATAGCCCATCTCAGAGTCCAGGAGATGAGGATGAGTGAGGTTAAGTAACTTGCACAAAGTCCCCCAGCTCATAAATGACAAGAGTTGGAACTTGAACCAATATTTTTCTGATTTCAAAGCCCAGAAGCCTACAAATATACTAAAAACAGTTAGTGATTAATACATACATTTTTGTATTTATAAGTAAGTGTGTATAGGTAGATAGATAAATCAGTGACACTACAGGGAAAAGTAGGGAAGGCTATGCACTGTATTGTCAAAGTGTGGAATGAGATGAGGTGACCAAAGGGAGGAATTTACTTCTTCAACTATATTTATTTTGAAAGTAGTGGGATTAGAGTACATCTTATGTTTTGGGTGACTCTGGTATTTCATAAATGAAATTAGTTTTAAAATGGAGAAGAATCATTTGTCTCAATGATTAATTATGGATCTAAAGTTATAAAAATCTTGAATTTTTATGGAATTGTTCATGAACTAGTGTAAAGATGTTAGAAACATATGGCGGCCCCTTTTAACATTTTTCCTTTATTGCAAAATGTAGAAGCATAAAATTTTTGTAATATATAGACAAGCAAGAAATAAATAAAAAATTCCTCACAATTCTCATAATCCTTACAGTAGAGTACCAGTACTCTACTACATAATAGATCTTGGAGACTGTATTATTTCTTGTTTATTTCTAAATGATACCATTTTTGAGTACCATTGCAAAAGCAATGGCACTGTGAATCAATTACCTAGTAGTAACTTTCCACCAGTTTCTTTTAATGCATAGATGCTCTTTTTAAAAAAGCACAGTAGTCTTAACATATGTCCACATAAAAACTTGTACACAGACGTTCAAAGCAGCATTATTCATGATGGTCAAAAAGTGAAAACTCAAATGTCCATCGACTGATGACTGGATAAACAAACTGTGGTATACTCATACAATGGAATTTTATTTGGCAACAAAAAGGAATGAAGTACTGATACATGCTACAACATGGATGAACTGTATGCTAAGTGAAAGAAGCCAGTCACAAAGTATTACATATTGTATGATCTCATGTGTATGAAATGAGACGAAAGTGAATTAGTGGTTGCTTGGGCTGTAGGTAAGGAGGGGATAAGAAGTGACTCTTAGTAGGTACAAGGTTTCTTTTTGGGGAGATGAAGGTGTTTGAAAATCAAATTATGACGATGAGTGCACACTCTGTAATTATTCTCAGAGCCAATGAACTGTATATTTTAAATGGGTAAACTTTTATGGTATATAAATTATATCTCAATAAAGTTTTTAAAAAATCTTACAAAAGTGCCTTATTAACGTTAGCATAGCTGTAAAAGGGAAGAGTTCTAGAGAATCCAGTCTTTTTGAGTTTTCATTTTCCCCTCTATATCACTACACTCCCCACACTCAACCCCAGGAAGAAACGTGGTTGATTGTGGTTCTTTTTATAGAGAATTTTTTTCCCCTTCCAATGTGTTCTGAACTTGTTTGGTTGATACCTTTCTTGAATCGGCAGCCGACAAACAAAAATAAAATGGAAGCAATACTCACCTTCAATAATATGTTTTCTTGACAACCCTCTTTCCGTCTCAGCTCTGACAAGAAAAAGAAGCAAATGACTTTAAGTGGAGGTGTGCTTTTTTAAAAATCACTGTTTCAAAAGGACAGAATAATCATTCTAGACTGAATTGTTAATGGTATTCCCTGTTCTTAGCAAATTCTGCACCACTGCAGGCTGGGGAGAGAAGGCTGGTGGGCAGCACACCTAGCGGCTTTTCTTTGTAGACCCCAGGAGATAAACTAACCATCACTGTCATCATACCATGTAAATAACAACTCAGCTGTGCACACCTTGTCCATATATAATTTGACACTTGACACATGGCTCAACCTTCCCACCTTGTTTTTAACCAATCCCAAGCCAAACAAAACAAAACAAAACAAAAGCTTGACGTAAGTTTGCGAGCTTACTATAAGATTGTCGGGCTACTGACAACATTGGCTTTTCTGAGAAAGGAAGCAAATCTGAAAGTGACTTTTGACTTTCAAAAGAAATTAAACAACTATTTTCTTTTAAAAGGTGATGTACCGAGTCTTCCTTAGTTTCCTAAGAAGATGAATATTTAATGGACTTTTGCCTGCCCAGACCATTCTCAGACTCTAGCCAATTAGAAAGAAATGTGGTCCTTGAGTTTTAAAGTACTGATGAAATACTTCTTTAACACCAATGCCTTTGGCAACCCCCTTTTTAAAAAATTTATTTATTTTATTTTTGGCTGCGTCGGGTCTTCATTGCTGCATGCCGTCTTTCTCTAGTTGTGAGCAGGGGCTACTCTTTGTTGCGGCGTGCATGTTTCTCATTGTGGTAGCTTCTCTTGTTGCGGAGCATGGGCTCTAGGCATGCGGGCTTCAGTGGTTATGGCTCGCGGGCTCTAGAGCACAGGCTCAGTAGTTGTGGCGCACAGCACACAGGCTTAGTTGCTCCGTGGCATGTGGGATCTTAGACCAGGGATCGAACCTGTGTCCCCTGCATTGGCAGGTGGATTCTTAACTACTGCACCACCAGGGAAGTCCCAGCAACCCCCTTTTAAAACGTGGTAGTTTATCATGTGCCTTTGGTGATTTTGTATCTTTTAAAAGTATATTAGATAATACTGTATGTAGTACTCTATTACATAATGGTTCTTTCAGACTGTCATATTTCCTGTTTATTTCTAAATCATAGGCAAGGTTTTGAGTACTACTAAATCACAGACAATAGCACCAGGCAATGGCACCATGAATCAGAGTATACACAATATAAACCTACGTTTCTCATATGCACCATGCGGCTTTATTTTCATATAGACTACAATAGGTATAAAAATCTAAGTTTCATATTTCTTTCTTCATATTTATCATAAACAAACTCAAAGTCAGCATTAAAATATGAGTGTGTGTATACACATATACATTTTGATTGGAAGATTCCCCTTCAATTTTATCTTTAACGATTCCTTATGAATTATAGGGAAATAAATAAGGTTTTGTTTGTTTGTGTTTGTCTTTGTTTTTTGTTAGAACTCCATGGAGATCGTTGAGATTTCCATGAAAAAGAATAGGGAATAGTTTGCTGTTTTCTCACATGTTTGACAAAGAGGCCAGTCTTCTAAGTCCTGCTGAATAATATAAGTACCAGTTCAAATACCAGTAGGCCCATCAGAAGCCAATTCATCCTGTGAAATTTGTTCTGCATCCCACAACAGAGAGAGGACCACTCTTTTATTTGGCCTGACAGAGAGTGATACAGGCAGCTTTCTGTTATTCTTCGATGAAATGGTCCTTTTGATCAGCATTTTCAGAGCCCTCTGCAGAAATGATCAGAGACTTACACGTGGGGCCAGACAAGATATTTTTATCATCGTTTTCCGTAGAAGTCTCTGAGTTTTTGGCAGATTTGAGTAGCTTTTCTTCTGTGATGCTATGTGCTTATTTTCTTTTCCTGAAATTTGAACTCTATTTTGGAAATGGTTCTAAGTATGATGTTGGTATTTGAAAATCTCCATGAATCACTCAGTAACAAGTGACCACATGCTTTGCACTAAACTTCTTTGGGGGTATCTAGCTAAAATTGAATCCTAGGCTAATTGCTATTTCTTTCAAGTGAAAAAAAAAATAAATCTTTCTTTCCAAACCAATTAATTTTAGTATGTTAGATGTAAAATGGTTGCCTAAAAGGATCAAAGCACGAACTACTAGTTGTTTCTTGTCAAGGAAATAAAAGGTGTTTAACTTACTTTCCACCCCAGTAGAGTTTGGTTGTTATGACCAGGCTGGACCTCCTGTATGTTAAACAAACACACAGAGAAATAGTAAATGAATTGCTGGTTATAGTACTGAGTCATATTATTATTATAGCACCAGAAAGAATTTATTGTACCTCACATTTAAAGAAACTGGTGAAGAGATAAATTTGTTCATTTATGTCATTGAAACCTAAGGACAAAGGGAAGCTGATGAGTGGGGACTTGAAGTCAGATCCAAGAGAAAGAGTTCTGAAGGGAAGGGAACTTTACTTGGAGGGGCCAGATGAGGAGGAGGAGGGCTGTGACAACACACAGGTGATTGGGTGGTAGTAAAGCAAAGGTGAGTGGTAGGCATGGAGAGTCAGAAAGGAAAGTGAGAAGAGTAAGTAAGAAGACTTAAAGCATGGACTGCATTAGGAACTCAAATAGACAGTCACCAACTAACACTCATCGAGCATCTGACATAGTGTTGATTGATCATGAACTTTCCTGGGGGTACATCCACCCTCTGCCAAGGACAATGGACCTTAGTGTCTCTGAGTTATGACTCTTTCCAACCAACTGGAAAGAGTCATGCAACCAATTGCATTCACAGGAAAGAACTGACTACATGGAAATACGAATAAATTTAGTCAATAAATAGGAATAAAATTTCTTTGAGTGTCTTATTAAATGGAAATGTTATTTTAGAAAAACAATCCTAAAAATCCTTAACTCAAAGTTTTACCGCTTTATTCCTAAGGGAATGAAATGTGGGAATCTTGTCAGCAAACTCATTACTTCCTCAAAACCACACCCAAGGGCAGGAAATGCAATCACACCATTATGATTGTGGAATATGAATATGTCTTGAGAACTATAGTCATATAATTTAAAATTGGGAGGCAGATCTCAATGTAATTTACTTTCTCCAAGTATATAATTCAATTGAACTGGTCGAGGAAAAAAAAGGCATTTGAGATTCAAAGGATAAGACCAAACTTCAGGAGTATTTGAAACAAGGCATTTATAATTCAGCTGTGGAGTCGATGCCTGGGGCCCTCAGATGTAAAAGCCTAGCATGATTAATGATAACCAATGCGGAATGGCGGTGACAACTCTGACAACTTGGCTGCAACAAGAAAAATTTTTAGAAAATGTCAGTAACCCCATCCCCCTGAAGTTAATTCCCCGAAAAGTAATTTGAATCACTGTAACAGAAGGTCTGCAAATATATGCATCTGGAGATTACACACCCCAAAAGGGCTGATGCACTTTCCAGGTTAGTCCATCAACCTCGTGATACGTAGTATAATAGCAATCTGCCACAGGGGAGCTGGGTCTCCTTCAGCAAACATTTTCAGAGCTTCAACACAAAGCTCTGGATGGAATCTGATTAAAAAATGAGTGCAGCCCTCTGGATTATTCAGAGCAATTGGGCCTGCCAAGGCCGCACATTTTTCCAAAATTAGGCTCTCTGTAAAATATTTGGCCTCTATGGATGTGCACACTAATATTTATGTTCAAATAGCAAGAGTAGACAACAACCTGATGAATCATCACTGACCTCACGGAGGCATCTAGAGCAACTCTTCTGAGTGGGTGAAGAATGATATTGTGAGTATTTCATATTGATATAGCACAGCTTTCAATATTCTTTTGTCCACCTTATCTCACTTTATCAGCACAACACTCCATGAACAGTTATGCCATCCATTTTATAGGTGGGGAAAGTGAGGCTCAGAAAAGAGAAGTAACTTGCCCTGGACAACACACCTAGCAAGCGGTGGTCTTGGGACAAGTAGGCAAGGATGCTGGTTGAAACTGCTTTTGTAGCCCCCATGCTGTGATGTTATGGTTTATCTTTTCAGCAATCTCGGGTGGGCAGCTGTGAACTGATATGACCTGATATCAATTTTCTGTAGCATGGGGATAGCTTGAGTTTTTATTTGCAAGACAGAAAGGCAGTTTGTGAAAGATGCGTGTTAATCTATTTTCTACAAAACGTGTAGAAGAAGCTTTGCAAAGTACGGTGAGAGATGAGTAGACATTCTCTGGATGCAGAGGGGAAGAGAACTACAGCACCGAAGCTTCCCCTTCATCCCAGGTGTACTCTGGCAGCTGACACCCCGCTGTTGATTTCACTGGACATCAGTGGACTCATCTCCAAGGTCTCTGCTATAGGTTGAATTGTGTCCCCCGCAAAAGGTATGTTGAAATCCTATCCCCCAGTACCTCAGAATGTGAGATTATTTGGAAATAGGGTCATTGCAGATGTAATTAGTTAAATTAAGATGAGGTGATACTGGAGTAAGGTGGGCCCTTTATCCAATATGACTGGTGTCTTTATAAGAAGACGCACAGAAACACGAGGGGAGAATGCCATATGAAGCCAGAGGCAGAGGTTGAAGAGCTGCAGTTGTAAGCCACAGAATGCCAATGATGGTCAGCAACCACTAGAAGCTAGGAAGAGGCAAAGAAGGATTCAGAAAGAGCATGCCCTTGCCCAAATATTCATTTTGTACTTTTGGACCCCAGAACAGAGAGAATAAATTACTGCTGTTTTAAGCCACCCAGTTTGTAGCACATTGTTACAGCAGCCCTAAGAAAGTGATACAGTCCTATCTGAGCAGTGATGGATGAGCCAACATTCTGAGTAGGAAGGTGACTCAGGCAAGGTGGAGGACTGGGTGGGGATGTGAATATTTTTCCGTATTTAAGGTTGAATACGATATTCTTTTCACACTCTTACAGTCCCTGGAGTAGGGAAAGAGGAGAGGGAGAGGGAGAAAGAGGTCACCAAAGTTTATTTGTTCACATCGCCATACACTTCTGGGTCTCCATTTCCACTCGTCCTATAGAATGGTTATTTATTTGGCCGTCAGCAGATCTTATACCAGAGCGGAAGAGGACTCCAGATTTGTCCTGTGGCCTTGGCTGGACTCGGCCTGATCCTGTACTCATGCTGGGGGAGAAGCAGCTACTGGTGCTGACAGGTGTAGTGAGATGGAGGGGGTTGGCCCCCCACCCCGCCACCACTATCGCATCACTCGTTACTACTTGCTTTGGCTCCAGAAGGTGATGGGATGCAACAGGACCCCTCAAGGATAGCAGATGAAGCACTTTCCTGAATGCCCAGATAACAGGGCTCCCAGCGCACAGGAGAGATGCTGGCTAATTGTGTTCAGATAAGAAAGCTTTGGGATATTTATCCCAAGGGTTTCTTGTTTCATCATTTCTTTGCATCCAGAGTTGTTAATAAAATGAACAATGAACATAAATATGTGTGTAGAGATAATAAGTTTTCTGTCAGCTGGCTTCCTTCACCAGATTACCACAAATGGCAGTCAGAAACCATGAAAATGCCACTTTCTTTTACGCACAAATATCTCATGAACATTCTCTGCTCAACCCATGGTAATTCATTGTGATCAATGACAAGTCAATAATTTTTGAAGCACAAGTAATGAGCTCGCTAATATTTATTTTCAAGGCGCTGTAAATCATTTCTTTACTAAGAATTGACTTTTTTTGACAGCCTTTTGGTCAGTTGTCATGCAATTTTATTTTCTCTTCTCTGGTACAAAAAAACAACAGTCTTTTTAAAGGCAAGTAAATGATTACGGTGAATGCATTACCTCCAGCCTTTCTTCTTGATAATGCTCCCCAGAATCACTTCCGCCCTGAAGAGGAAACAGATAATGTCTTAGGATACAGTGTCCTGGAAACGCAAGAGTCAATCCAAAACACCAGATCCCCTCCTTGTTTGAACTCTCAGTGCCTACATGTCCCGAAAATAGAAGCTGCTCTCGGCTGGTAGCAGTTTCCACTGTTTCTGCTTGTGCCTGCGGAATCCTGCTCCTGGAGCATTCCAGAAGCACCTGCCAAATCCTGACACACTGGCAGGAGACCGCCTGCAGTCCTGATACTAGGAAACAGCAGAGTCACTTGGCAGTTTGGTGTTTTTGAACCAATGATCCCATATATAACTGTCCTCTTTGGCGGTATCCAAAGGGAGTCAAGGGTTTCTTTCTAATGGCTGTGGTCTCCGGTTGTGACTGGGGAGGACAATGAGACCTCATGCTTTTCAGACAGAAAATACTGACTCTAGGCGATCTTGCAGGGTAAAAGAACCTATGTGTGGCTTTAGATGTCCCAAAGCCAGGATTGCAGATGCAGCAGCCCACATAGAGAATGTCCTGGATTCCAGTGACAAGCGTTGTCATAGGAGAAGGATATAAGAAGTCGTAGGGAAGTGTCCCTGCCGCTGACTCCGGTCGTGGAGAGTTATACTGAAGACACCCTCACCATCCTCTCCCCCTCCACCTACCCCAGCTGGGACCCAAGCTTAAGGAGACCAAAACTTCCTTCTAGGTTCCTCCCAGCCAGACCAACATTGTAAGAAGTAGGTGGGGTCTCAGGCTTTGTGAATGGTGACATCAATATAATCAGCACTTTATCCATTAGCATCTGTCTCTGTTGGAGTGTACAGCCTGGCAATAAACCATGAGGGGGGTTAGCTGTGGGGCATGCCCCAAGTAGATATGTGTTGAATGTTACTTCTGGGTTCTTTCCCCAGACTCTCTTGCAACCTTGCATTTCACAGTGGGAACCTGTCTCATTACACAAGGACAATCAATCAATAATTAATCAGGACCGATTATCCTTGACAACAGGAATACAAACATAGCTCTAAAAGACTTGTTAATCACTCCCCCTTTTTCAGCCTTAGGCCCACTTGGTAATAAGCAGGATTTAACAAAAGAAGAAAACGCTGAGATAGGGTAGGATGTGGAAAGGAACAAGGCCTCGTCAACTGTATTTTCTCTCCTTGGACTCAATAGAAAACATTAAGGATGTGGGCTCTGAACCTCCCTGATGGTCCTTAAACATAGACATGCCCTTGAAAAGGAGGAAATCCAGGCTAGGAAAATGCACTTTTATCAAGCAGTGATGAACCTGATTCAGCAGTCTGACTGTTATTCTTACCTGGAAGTGGGGGAATTAGGCGTACAGGTGATTACACTCCTCAGCCCTGTTAGAAAATTGCAGAGCTGCTCAAGCAGCTGTCCAGATGTTTAGCTTCTTTCCTGCATCCACGTTCACAGCAGGAGGCCAAGGCGTTCCACTTCTGTTGAATGTGCTTATTGTGCAGGAACAGAGGGCATGGACCTTGAAGGCACAGCACCTATGTGTTCTGACTTAGCAGTGAGCCCTATCCTAGAGCCCCAAACCTGCTCTCAGGTCCATAAGAAGGTTATAGCTAGTTGTGACTTCTCCAGCAAAAGAAGCAAGGCCTCTTTGCAGCGCTCTCTGTCCTTAGAATGGGGTCTGAAATGTCCTCTTATAAAAGATATTGGGTTTCTTGGCATCTTTGGGAGTCCCTCCTTTAATCTCTGATTTACCTGTAATGCCCAGTGGAGGGACAGGCCTGCTTCCCTGCAGAGAGGATGTGTCCATTTCCCTCGGGGTTGAGGAACTACGAGGTGTGGTTATGAAATTATGAGACTAGCTTTGGAACACCACGCTGGAATCTGCTCACTTATGTTAATTACATTCAGCTAATATTTATAGATCTCCACTGCCACCACTCTGATCTCAACCACCTCTGCCCCTCGTGTGGCAATTGCTTCCAGTCCATTCTTCATATCTTCATATAGGGACCAGAGGTAGGCAGAGGGGCCCAGAGATGGTCAATAGCCCCACTTCTGGTGATGGTGGGAGAGGGAGGGAGAAAAGCAGCGGCATCAACATGTGTGGGGAGGACAGACCCTTGTCAGCAATGGTCTAGGCAGAGTCTCTTGGTTCCAGAAATGACACCTGAGAGACACATCAGGCACTGACTTACTTTCCAGCGGCGTAGACCTCAGCCGTATCAAAGAGATTCACTCCACTCTCGTAGGCAATTGTCATCAGCCGTTCAGCAACCTGCAAGAGGATGCACAGGTCACGGGGAGGGGGAAGGGTAAGCTGGGACGAAGTGAGAGAGTGGCATGGACATATATACACTACCAAATGTAAAATAGATAGCTAGTGGGAAGCAGCCGCACAGCACAGGGAGATCAGCTTGGTGCTTTGTGACCACCTAGAGGGGTGGGAGGGAGGGAGACGCACGAGGGAGGAGATATAGGGATATACGTATACCTATAGCTGATTCACTTTGTTATACAGTAGAAACTAACACAACATTGTAAAGCAATTATACTCCAATAAAGATGTTAAAGAAAATAAAGGTCAGTCATAAAAGCCAAATACTTTCTAAAGCTGGAAAGCAACTTGGAATCCTCTGGTGGTCTTTATGAACATGGAAATTTCACCGACCATTCTTGGTTTTCTCAGTTATATTAAAGAAAGAAAGAAGAAAGAAGATTCAACCGGCCTGAATAGGGTAAAAGTACCCCTTCCCTCAGACCTATACTGGGCACTGAGAGATTTCCTTCAGCGCTGGGATAAGTCAGCCACCAGGAACACAGTGAGATGGAGAGACTTGTGTTTCTCACTCTGCTTGGAAGACGTGGTTTGACAACATGCTCTGCGGCACTGCAATCTCACTGACCAAGAGGGTCATTTATATCCCTGGTGACTTCATTTCTCTTCTTTCTCTTTTCCCCAAGCCAACAGGTTCTGGCAGCTGGGTGACTCCTGACCTAAAAGTTTGTAACATTTTTCCCTGGAGGCTTAGCAGACTGTACTGATGAACCAAAAGTTACATGGAGCTGGGACTGTTGGAAAACTCCCGCCACGCACAGCTCAGCACCACCCCAGGCACCATCACAGAACGACCACTAGCCGCACTGACACTACATGGAGAGGAGGGGGTGAGTGCACCGGTGCCTCACAGGTCAGCCTAAGACCTCCAAGCTCCTTGTTCCTTCCTTCGTGCTGCTGAACACGAGTGGCAAGTGCAACAGAAGAGCACAGGGAATAGCTATAAACCACACCTTGAGGGATGGCGCTGGAGGGACAGCGATAACACTGGAGAAAGGACATTTTTTTCATTTTGCTGATAGACTTATTAGTCAACTGAAAAATTACACACGTCACAAATATTTGAAATTGATTTTTCCATTATGTTTTTCATTGTGGGCTAAAGGTGCTTCATCAGCATTTCCAAGATAAACTCTTTTCCTGTTGTTTTTTAAATTGGCATACCAAGAAAATTGTCAGGCTAGCACAATGGACTCCATGCAAATCCTTTAGAATAATAGCAGCAAAAATGTTCTTACTGCTTTAAATTTGCTACCATTATGACATTTCTCCTAAGTAGAAGTTAAAAGTTAAGAACAGTATAGTTTTTCCATCATGACTGCCATATATATATATTTTTAATTTTTTAAATATTTTTGGCTGCCCCGTGCAGTATGTGGGATCCTAGTTCCCTGACCAGGGATCGATCCCATGCCCCATGCAGTGGAAGCATGGAGTCTTAACCACTGGACCACCAGGGAAGTCCCTATATTTTAGAAATTATTTTGCTTGCTTGTATTGTGTATCATCCTTGTGTTATGTCACATGACATACTAGTAGATTATGATTGGGAAATGTTTATAATAAATCTTATCTAGGGAGAAATTTTAAGATAAGATGGAGAATTCTGAATGGAGAATTGAACTAAATGATTGCTGAGATGTTTCCCAGTCATGGGATTTGAAGATCCGAATGTGGAATAATGAAAAGAAATCACTGAACTAAGTCAGAGGATCAGTGTCTGGCCTTGAGTGTATCACTTACTAGATACATAAATCATCTGACCTCTCTGTGTTTTAGTTTCTTTATCTGCAAAATGAGGATGATTCTGTTCAGGCCCCCTAGGGAGCCCACAGGTCTCAGGGGAAGCTGACCTTACCTCCCTCTAAGGGGGGCCTGGTGGGTCTGACATGGTTCAGGGAAGGTCATGTGACACATCTGGGCCAATGAGATGTGAGAGGAGATTGGCTGAGGACTTCTGGGAACACTTGCTTGCAGAGTTTCTAGAAGTGACACTCTTTCCCTGGAGTTACTATTCTAACTGAGGTCTAGAATTCCTGCTGCTACCTGAGGATGAAGTTGATATACAAAGGAACACAGGGTCAGGAGAATCACTAGGAAATGGAGTGGAGGCTCTGAATGAGTCAACCTGGAAGGCTGCTCTATCGCTGCACTTCTAATTTAAAAGTAAAAATATCTTTTCCCTTATTGGTTAAGCCAATTTCAGTTTAGTTTACTGTTACCTGCAAATGAAGGAAGCTTAACTATGTCACAGATGAGAAAACATAAATAAAACTCTGAAAATTAAGTGCTATAAGATGGTAATATACTCTTATCATTATTTTAAAGTATTATAATTCACGTGAGTAACATCTATCTTGGTTTTATGATGAAGCCAAATCATCTTTGGGAGGTACCTCACAGTTATCTAGTTTCCAGTTTGAATCCTTTCGATAATATTCCTGCCAAGTGGCTATTCAATAAATGGTTGAACTCTCCCAATAATGGGGACATCACCACCTCCCAAGGTGGCACTAATGATTATGTCACTCAGCACATTACGGTGCGCTCATCCCGGGATCCAATATTTGTATCTGCTTTGTGCCTACGTTGTCACATGGAAATAGTTGAGCTCCATCAATTCAGCCATGGGTGTGACTGTGGTCTGGCTGTGCCTTCATTCCTCCTTGCTGGCAGTCTCTCTGCCGGGCCCTGGGGGGAAGCCACAGCTGCTCTTGGGAAGGACAATCGCTATTTGGTCTGCGTTTGAGGTGAGAGCCTCTGCAGTCATTCACAACAGCTTTATTGTGTAGTTTTTAGAATCATAATTTTGAAATGATTTATTTCAGAGGCCAGCCCTGCATACTCTGACCTGGGCAAGCTGGGCTCACTGCAGCAGGGAGCAGACACTCTCAAGGGGAGAGCAAAGATGAAGGGGGAAATAATATGCTTATAGTTGATCCTTCTGCTCTGAAAGGGAAGATGTATTTGTCTTTCTCTGCTCCAAAAACCACACCAGGCAGTAAAAGGTTATGCACGTGCTAGATACAGGGGATTATTAACTTTAGACCTCCTTTCTTCCTTGTCGTTTATTGTCCATCTGATTAAAGTCTGCAGCCATTGCTTTGATATCTGTGGATCTGCCTCTGTGCCTCCTCAATTCACCCTTCCTGATGCCAGTCAGAGGGCCCTGGAGTGGAGCCTGTGATGACCACCCTGGTCCTCCTTCAGCGCTCAAGGACTTATTCCCCCAGCTCGTAGGAATGCTGCCATCAGAAGGCACCTGGCTAAAGCGAGTCACCTACCCCAAGGTCAGACCTGCCTCCCAGGGCTGCCTCTATCCAACGACTGGTCATACAAGGGATATAAACACTCAACTCCTCTTGCCCCAACTTGGGACAACCCTGCAGGTCCATCTGAGCTTCAGAGCTCCCCATGGGGTCAGCTGAGGTCACTGCTGAGACTGCATCATGACCCAACTTCCTGATAACTGTTCTGCATGCTAATTTCCACCAGAGGTCTGCTTCCCAAGGACTCCACTCTGCAACAAGCTCTCTGTGGTGACCTATGCCCAATACTGGGAACAGAAATTCAGACAGATAAAAATATGCAGATAAGACTCCTCCCTAGGGCTTCCCTGGTGGCCCAGTGGTTGAGAGTCTGCCTGCCGATGCAGGGGACACGGGTTCATGCCCCGGTCCGGGAAGATCCCACATGTTGCGGAGCGGCTAGGCCCGTGAGCCGTGGCCGCTAAGCCTGCGCGTCCGGAGCCTGTGCTCCGCAACGGGAGAGGCCACAACAGTGAGAGGCCCGCGTACCGCAAAAAAAAAGACTCCTATGGACCTATTAAATAACATGGTGACCTTGCGAGTTGTGGAAAAGACCCTTTATCTCCCCAAGCATCTCCTTAGGAATGATAGTAAGAACTACCTTTATAAAGGGGAAACAAGATAAAATGGAAAATAATCTTTAAGTCAGTCTTAGCCATTTCCCGTGACTAAACTATTATCCTTGTAAAATGCCAGAATCCCAGGAACTGTATTGTAAAATAGTTTGCTCTGCATTTTCTCCAATCAGCATAATGGAAGCCAAAAGTAACTCACCTCATCTGAAATTTGACCTCCAAATGTCACCCATGTTCCTGGAAAAGAATAAATATTTGCATGTTATTCTTAATCATTTTTCTAATATTGCCCATTAAGGGAAACACTTTTTCTTACATCAGGGCTACTTCAGTAGGTTGTTCATGAAGGTACTTGGATGAGGGGCACTTGGGGGCTGAAGTCCTGCCCATCCTCCTCCTGTCGCTAAGTTCCCCAACAGGGATCTGTATTCCTCTGCATCCCTCTGGATGCCTTTTCTTCATTCAAAGGCCCAGTATATGCTAATGGCAGCCCTGTCTACTAAATTCTTTTTCTTCTGACGTAGGACCATGTATGCTGCTGTGCAAGAAGCCCCAAGCCCATTTTGGTGCACACCTATTCTTGCTCCAGCTTAGCTAAGAAGTTATCAGTTCTGAAAGTGAAGGTAAGACCTTGGGTCACATTTCTCCCTTTCTTTGCCTCCAGTGAGGGACTCTATTTTGTGTTCTCTATTCCCTTTCAAAAGGAACCCTCTCAGGGGTCCTTCCAGTCCCCACTTCCAAGCCCCAGGAGATGACACTTAAGCATCTTCTCTCTTATGACCTGCTACTCCAGAATGGAAATTGCCATTGGTTTTGGGGTGGGGTAGAGGCAGTAGCCAGCATGAGGTTTGGGAAGGCAAGGAGGAGAGGCATAACCAGTAGCCAAAGATTTGCATTTGTAAAACAAGAGGGAAGCAGAGACTGAGTGGGCTGTTTCCACTCCAGTCTATAGTCACCTCATTCGTATTCATAATTCTCTCCTTGATCTGTTTTTTTTTTTTTTTTTTTTTGAGCCCTAATTACATGCCAGGCAAAGACACTGCACCCAGGTGCTCAGGACAGTGAGGTGACTGCCCCAGCTCCTCTGTCTCAGGAGCTCACAGTTGACAATACTATCAACAAATGCTATGACGGAGGCAAACACAAGGCAGGAAGGGAGGGAGTGCTCTACTCAGACTGGAGGTGGCCCTCAGGAAAGACTTCCCAGAAGAGGTGACACTTTGGTTGAGTTGCAAAGGAAGGAGCTGAATGAAGAGGGGAGGGACAGGCATTCCAGGTACAGGTAAGAGCATGGGCAAGGCAAGTAGAAAACTTGAGTGGGCTGATGAGCCGCGGCGTGGGCTGCTGCTCCGAGGAGTGAAACATGATGTGGAGAGGGAGGGGTGGCAGGAGGTGGCTGGGCACCGTTCGTGTTTGTGGGGGCAACGAAGAGATATGGTTGGAAACTTAGTTTTGTGGTGTGTAATAACAGGATAGCTACTGTTTATGGAACATCTTCCAAATGCCAACAGTACACTGAGAAACGTGTATAAGACGTTTCATCTCTAATAATTTTGACAAACTTACAAGGCAATTTTATTATCCCAATTTCCAGATGAGGACTCTAACATCAACCAACCTAATAAGTGATACACTCAGGATTCCCACACATGCTGGGCTTCCTTTCCACTGCATTTTGCTGCCTCATCAGTAAGCCTCCAAATTAATTATGGCACTTGGATTCATATTCCATAGAAGCATGCTGATGTAACTGTACCTGTTTTCTTCTTAGTTCTCAGGGACTACACAGACGTAGAATATAGGTTATTTTACTGTTACACTCTACACCCCCAGAGGTTGAAAATGGGTGGCTTACAGATTGCACTCAGCTTGCAGACTTGTTTTGCTTGGCAAGAACAATGTTGACCCACTTGATATTTTAATAAACTTGGAATAAGTTACCAACATTTTGATAACTTAAGAGATTAATCTCCTTAATCTTAGTAGATATTTCTTTTAAAAGTCTGATTTCTAGCTTCTCTTAACAACAGAGATCAGTGGCCCCACACGGCAGACATCCCCTAAATCTGAGGGTCAATGCCCTCTGTGGAAGGGCTATACCCTCCCTGTTTAGTCAAAGGTCACACACTTTCCTTTGTATTTCCAACACTGAAATTAATTGGCAGTTGTTATTTAGTACCACGTGTTTACTGCTATTTTTCTTATTGTAAAATTTAGAGAAAAATGGACTTGTGCGTCTCCTAAAAGACAAAGTTTAGTATTTCAAGAAAAAATAGGGGTGCACTTTTTTTTGGTGGATGTGAAGAATATCCAAACAAAAAATATTTATAACAGAAAAATTACAACTTAAGGCACTATAATTAAACAAGCCATGACTGGTATACAGAAAAGATGGGCGTTGGGAAACTTAATGGACTGAAGAAATGGCAGCATTTGTTTTGAATGAGAATAAAACAAATGATCTGCTGTGAAATGCAGTTCTCTATTAAGTGAAAAAATTGCCTCAGCATCTAAACCTTTTTACAGACAACACTTTTATAAAAGAGTTTCTTTTGAATGTAGCAGAAATTGTGTCCAGAGCATAAACAAGCACTTGCAAATGTTCGTATAATCAGAAACATTGTCGCTCAGCATGTTAAAAATACGGCTGAGCGTTTCACTGGTGGCGCAGTGGTTGAGAATCTGCCTGCCAATGCAGGGGACACGGGTTTGAGCCCTGGTCTGGGAAGATCCCACATGCCACGGAGCAACTAGGCCCGTGAGCCACAACTACTGAGCCTGCGCGTCTGGAGCCTGTGCTCTGCAACAAGAGAGACCGCGACAGTGAGAGGCCCGCGCACTGCGATGAAGAGTGGCCCCCGCTTGCCACAACTAGACATAGCTCTCGCACAGAAACGAAGACCCAACACAGCCAATACATTAATTAATTTAAATAAATACAGCTGAGAGCTTTCAGGATAAGTTAAATTATTGGTGGCGTCTTCCATTGCAGCAAATGAGCACACAGATATAAATAACAGCACACTGTTAGCTATATTTATCTGCGATGTTTTGAGAATCTTGGAGGGGTCAAAGAATTTTTGAACAAGAAGTCTCTGCAAGGCAAAATTACTTTGTGATGAGAAGGGTCTCAGACCACTGGATATAGAAGGCACTGTTCCAAATTTTAGTGTTACTACAGATCAGGCTCTCACAAAGGGTGGGGCTGACCTTGGACCCATCAAGTGACAGATCAGAGGCGACAGTATTTTGTAGGGGCACTATGCATAAATCCATTAATTTCCTCATTCATCAGAAATTGCTTTGGGCTAAAACGAAACAGGCCATGGATTCACTAATTAATATCATGAATCAGCTATTCTTCTACATCTTGGAGCAAAATCAGGTCAGTGTTTGCTTAATGAATTTGCTGGTTTACTTGTGCTGTGATGTTGGAGAGAATTTTTTTTAACTGTTCATGTCATCAAAGGAGATAGTCCCATTTCCACTTAGCAGCAAAGATTGGCTCAAAGTCCCAAGCTTCTTGCTGACATTATGCCTCATCGACACCTTGTGAATATTTTTCTATTGGGGCATTCAGAAGTATTTGCACAAATGTCTCATTTGCTTCTCTCAGCACTGACAACAAAGTCTTTGGAAAATTCATTTGTTAAAGAATAATTTGGTTCATCTTCCAACATTGCAGTCAGTTTCCAGATATGAAAGTGGTAGCCTGAAATTTATTCTCTGAAATGGGGCTTTTGAATACAGGATTGCATGCTTTAGGAAAATAAACTGGTATTATTTAGCTTACCTTTCTTAATTGATTTTTGATAGTACAGACACAGGGCTATGAAGTTATCAAACTGTACTACAAAATGGTATTGAAGACTATGACAACACTGAAAGCTGGGACTGTACACTCATCTTGGAGGAAATAATCTTCCTATCCACATTGGGAAGAGCTTATGTTTAGGAACAGTTTTATTCCAAAATTAATCTGAAAAAACTACTTACCAACCCCAGTTTACATATTTAAGGCTGCATGCCATACATCACAGAGCAAACCACAGGGCCTGACTGACATTTTGGTACATAAGAAAAGACATTAGGTTTCTGATGTCAGGTCAAAGCAGTAATGAATTATAAAGTAATGATAATAATAATAATAAATGCTTTTCTTTTTCAGTTTTAGATTAAAAGTTTAAATATAAAATAGAATATGGATATCAGTGCTGCAGAGGAATGGCTGTTGGCCTGTGGTGGGTTCAAGATCCCTGGCTGGTTGGGGTCTCCCGTGCTCTGCTTCTCCCCACTGAGCTACTGCCTGGTGCAGAGGAAGCCATGGTGCTCTGGATCACCAGGAACTGAACATTAATGCTGAAAACAAGGTGAAGGTCAGTATGGCAGGCGCAAAGTGAGTGCCTGTGGCCACTGTTGCAGCCTCTAAGCCCGGGCTGAGGCCAAGAACAGCTCGTGGGGACATCGGTAACAGAGTCAGTGAAGAGCCACAGGCCAAACTGCCCCTGAAAAAGGAAGCAAAAACTTTAGCTGCTGGAAAAGTTATTGCTAAAAAACTACCAAAACCTCTGGAAAAGACACCTGTACCTGCGCTGAAGCCCCAGCTGGAGCCGGATCTGGAGCCAGAGCCAGAACCCGAGCCTGTTAAAGAACAGAAACTTCCCCCTGAGCCTATTTTGGTTGATACTCCCTCTCCAAGCCCCATGGAAACACCTGGCTGTGCCCCTGCAGGAGAATATGTGTGTCAGGCTTTCTCTGATGTAATTCTTACAGTGAGTGATGTGGATGCAGAAGATGGAGAGGATCCAAACCTTTGTAGTGAAGATGTAAAAGATATCTATGCTTATCTGAGACAACTTGAGGAAGAGCAAGCAGTCAGACCAAAATACCTACTGGGTCATGAAGTGACTGGAAACATGAGAGCCATCCTAATTGACTGGCTAGTGCAGGTTCAAATGAAATTCAGGTTACTCCAGGAGATCATGTACATGACTGTTTCCATTATTGATCGGTTCATGCAGGATAATTGTGTGCCCGAGAAGATGCTGCAGCTGGTTGGTGTCACTGCCATGTTTATTGCAAGCAAATACGAGGAAATGTACCCTCCAGAAATTGGTGACTTTGCCTTTGTGACTGACAACACTTACACTAAGTACCAAATCAGACAGATGGAAATGAAGATTCTAAGAGCTTTAAATTTTAGTCTGGGTCGCCCTCTACCCCTGCGTTCCCTTCGGAGAGCATCTAAGATTGGAGAGGTTGATGTTGAGCTACATACTTTGGCCAAGTATCTGATGGAACTAACTATGTTGAACTACCATATGGTGCACTTTCCTCCTTCTCAGGTTGCAGCGGGAGCTTTTTGCTTAGCACTGAAAATTCTTAATAATGGTGAATGGACACCAACTCTACAGCATTACCTGTCATACACTGAAGAATCCCTTCTTGTTGTTATGCAACACCTGGCTAAGAATATAGTCATGGTGAATCGTGGGCTTACAAAGCACATGACTATCAAGAACAAGTATGCCGCGTCTAAGCACACTAAGATCAGCACTCTAGCACAGCTGAATTCTGCACTAGTTCAAGATTTAGCCAAGGCTGTGGCAAAGGTGTAACTTGCAAACTTTGGAATACTATAAAATCTGCAAATAAAATTGGCACCATGTGCCATCTGTACACATTATATGTTACATTTATTTACTTTTAATAAAGTTGTAGTCCTTTTTACTAAAAAAAAAAGAGTATGGCTATCATATATATTTACATTAAGTTATATGCCTACACCATAATGTAGTAAAAATGAAGAGTTTGGTTCCTTTTGGGGATTTTGTCATTCTTCCATTCAGCTTACTTTGTTTAGGTAGGATACATCCCTGGCCCTTTAGACATTTGTTATTTATATCTTTTTATAGTTACTTGTTTACAAACTTTATATCCTTTACTAGAGAGTAAGCTATCTGAGGGTTAGGGTTTTATTTATCTTCTTACCTCCACAGCCCTAGAATGAAAGTGAGTCCTTAGTAGATGGTTGGTAATTATCTGGTTAAATTGAATTGAATTGGCTTTTTGACTATCATTAATGTACAAAACACTGGGATAGTCTCCCACCAAATAAACATTTATTTTGATTTATAGAAACATGAAAAATACTCATCAATAGTCTTCAGTTCTAGTCCCTATGAGATTGATGTGTTTCTCCTCATCCTCTGGTACCCACGCAGCAGTGCCCCCTCCTGGAGAAGGGCAGGTGGAAGGTCCTTCTCCCTGGCTGGAAGGCCTGGGGGTGGGGGGGTGAGGGCACAGTGTAGGCAGGGTCCACCGCCACCCATGAGGATGAGTTGCCACTTAAAAATGGGACATATTCCTTCAGGATGAAGAGGGATCAAGTGGCAGCTTTCCAGACAAGGGAACTCTGCTTGTACGATTTTATCTCTACTACCCCCCTCCACAAGATGTAACGTGGTTTATTAATTAATACAATTCTCAAAAACCTTTGGTGGCAGTTTTCTTGATCGTTTTTCTCCCTCTAATGAGAACACGCCTGCTTGAGACATAGGATGGCATGTGATTATTTCACTGTGAAATCTCAAATTAGTGGGATGCCATTTAGAAGATCATTTTACTTAACTGACACTTGTTATTTCTAACCTTTTAAAAGCAGAGGGAGTATAAAGAGAACTTTGAACTGTTATTGTGTCTTCTGTTGAAACTCCTTCATGTACCAAGTAATATATGCTTTGAAAACCTCTGTTTGAGGCCCTTGGCATACACCTACCAGGGCATAGAAAATGATCGGTGAAACATAAAAAGAAAAAGAAAACTACCCTGACACACACACACATACCTATCTTGGTTACTTAATTACCTTGGTGGTGGTTTACCGGGTAACTGCTAAGCATAAGGAAACATGCATATCATTTAAATGATCCCCTTGCCTGTATGAAGACATATTTAGATATTCATAAGTAATAATGTTTGTGCAGGTAGGCTACCTCCCTGGCCCTCTAACATCTCACATCACCACAGTGCAATTATCAAAACCAGGAAATGAACACTAGTACAGTACTAGTTAACTAAACTACAGACTTTGTTTTGAATTTCATTGTCCTTTTTTTCTGTTCCAGGATCCTAGGCAGGACCCAACATTGCATTTCATGTTCACGTCTCCTTAGTGCCCTCTGATCTGTGACAGTCCTCAGTCTTTCCTTGTCTGACACTTTTGAAGAGCACTGATCAAGTACTTGATAGAATGTCCCTCAATTAGGGTTTGGATCATTTTAGGTTTATAGATTTGGTGACTTCTTTTTCTATACTGTATTTTGACTTGTTTATGTTTTGGATATATTTTTTATAACTATCAAGAAGGCAATATAAAAATGCAATTATAATATTTATTATGCCACAGTTAACTTTTCTTCATTCTTTCATTAAACAAGTATTTATTTGAGACTACCATGTGCCAGGCCTTGTACTTAAATTATCAGGATACAACAGTGAGAAAATTGTTTCTCCCCTCATGGAGCAGATTTAAGAGGAAAGACAAAATAATAAGAAATAATAAATAATAAGAAAAATAAGATAAATACATAGTGTTTATTTATGAATGTTAATTTCATCAATAAATAAAATATAAAATGCAGTTGATTGATGAGTGTTAAAGAAAGTCATGTTTATAAGGTGGGCTACAGTAGGTAAAATGCCAGGGGATGGGGCTGAGATTTTAGATGGGGTGGCCAGATAAGGTTCACAATGAAAGTGGCTTTTGAGAAAAGACCCAAAGAAAGTAAAGGAGCTTGCCATGCAGTTACCTTGGGGAAGAACGTTTCAACGGGGAAAATGGGGAAAACAATGTGGAGGGGGCTTACTTGGCATGTTCAAGGTCAATGAGGAAGCCAGTGTGGCCAGAGAAGAGAAGATGAGGTCTGAGGGGTAATGGGGAACAGATTGTATGGGGTGATATCAATCATAAGAAGGACCTTGGAGAGGAGTTTTAAATAGAGAAGTGACACAGTCTGACACTCTTTGAAAAGGAACCTCTGCTGTGGTGTTGACGGCACACCTCTGAGGCTGAGGCTGAAGCACCAGCACCAGTGAGGAGGCTGTCGTGGTAAATCCAGGTGAGACATGACAGTGGTTTGGTCTGAGGTGGTGGTAGTGAGGATGGTCAGAAGTGCTTGAGTTTCTGATAGATTTTGAAGGAGAGGCAATAAGATTTGCTGATTAAAAGGATGTAGGGTGTGAGAGAAGGTGAGACTTCAAGTACAACATCAAGGTCAGAACCGGGGGAGAATAGAGAGCCAATTCAACACACTTCACTCTGGATTTAACAATTTTTAAGTTTGGTAAATAGAGCACACATTGACTCCAGGTTAATGTAGTCAAGGCTGACCAAATGATCGAGAGGTATTTAATCTACTGGTGTTTAGAGTTATTCATCTGTTACATCACTGAAGAATTTAAGGTTGGAGATTCAAACCCCAGATCTCAGTGAACTTAGACTACACACTGCACAAAATTAATGTGTTCACCATCTCATTTTAATAGAATTATTCTCAGAGAGAGGTAGAACTGGGGGTGGGAGCATCCCCCCAAATTTCATGGAAAGCAGGAAACAGAGTGTAGAGCATCCCCCCCAATTTCCATGGAAAGCAGGAAACAGAGTGTAGCCCAAATCAGTATTGACTTGGAGGACGAAGTACTAAGCTGTTGGTCACTACCTGACACCAGGGCCAGGGCATTCCTTGCACATTCCAAGTGCACTGTGTGCACTTCCCCTCTTAGCTCTGGGCTGAGTCTTCTGAGAATGGAACTCTTCCCCATGACCTTACATCCAAATCCTACTTATTCCTCAGGACCCAGAACTTCAGCCTCAGAGTCCAGTGCTGCTGGACCAGTTCCTTAACACTTCCTCTCCTGTAGGTCTCTGTTCCATTAACTCTATGACCCTAGGGAAGTCTCAACTTCTTGATTTCAAGTTTCCTCACACAAAATTAGGGACCTTAAGCTTCCTTCATCTCTATGATTTTGTGATTCTGTGGCTGGGCTTTGAAGGGTGAAGAACTCATACCATTCTACCACTTTGAACAAAGCATTATTACCACACCAACCATATCACATTGTAACTACATAATTTTTTTTTCACATATGACTTGTTCACCGGACTGCATCTCCTGAGGGGAGGGACCAGGTTTAATCTAAATCTTTAATTCTAGCCACTGAAGTGAAGCCTGGCACATAGTAGGTGTTTAATAATCATTCGCTGAATCAGTAAATAAACACTTTAAAAATTTGGGTGTCCAGGGACTTCCCCCTGGTAGTCCAGTGGTAAAGAATCCGCCTTCCAATGCAAGGGATGTGGGTTCGATCCCTGGTCGGGGAACTGAGATCCCACATGCCACAGGGCAACCAAACCTGTGCTCCACAACTATTGATCTCGTGCACCTCAACAAGAGAGCCCGCGTGCTGCAAACTACAGAGCCCATGCGCCCTGGAGCCCGCGCGCCACAACTAGAGAGAAGCCTGTGAGCTGCGACAAAAGATCCCACGTGCCTCAACGAAGATCCTGTGTGCCGCAACTAAGACCCGACACAGCCAAAAAAGTAAGGAAAATAAACAAAACAAAAAAACTCGGGCATCCAGCCCTGTGAGAAATGTCTCTACCATGAGAACATGTTGGTTGTTTCCCTGATTCACTACATTGGATCAGAGGTTTTCAAGCCTGGCTGCACATTTGAATATAGTGGGGAGCTTTCAATGACCTGGTCCCTCTCATCAGACCAGTTAAATCAGAATCTCTGGGAACAGGACCCCCAGCATCAGAATTCTTAAAAGATCTTCAGATAATCCTAATTGCAGCCAGGGTTGAGGACCGTAGTTCTATTTTTTTTTTAATTTTATTGAAGTATAGTTGATTTACAATGTTGTGTTACTTTCTGCTGTACAGCAAAGTGACTCCGTTATACACATATATATTTTTTCATACTCTTTTCCATTATGGTTTATCTCAGGATATTGAATATAGTTCCCTGTGCTATGTAGCAGGATCTTGTTTATTCATCCTATATATAGTAGCTTGCATCTGCTAATCCCAAACTCCTAATCCTTCCCTCCCACAACCCCCTTCCTTGGCAACCACAAGTCTGTTCTCTATGTCTGTGAGTCTGTTTCTGTTTTGTAGATATGTTCATTTCTGTCGTATTTTAGATTCCACATATAAGTGGTATCATATGGTATTTGTCTTTTTCTGATTTATTTTGCTTAGTATGATAATCTCTAGGTGCTACCATGTTGCTGCAAATGGCATTATGTCATTCTTTTAAATGGTTGAGTAATAGTCCATTGTGTGTGTATATATATATATGTATCTATATCTATATCTATCTACCTATCTATATCACATCTTCTTTATCCATTCATCTGTTGATGGACATTTAGGTTGTTTCCATGTCTTGGCTATTGTCAACAGTGCTGCTATGAAGATAGGGGTGCATGCATCTTTTTTAATTATAGTTTTGTCTGGGTATATGCCCAGGAGTGGGATTGCTAGATCATATGGCAACTCTATTTTTAGTTTTTTGAGGAAACTCCATACTGTTTTCCATAGTGGGTGCACCAA